AAAGCACTGACTTGTACATCGGCTGGCCAGCGCAAGCCATTGTATAGGCCACATACGCCCTCATTACGCCACTACGATTCTGAATGGAAGTCAAAGCGGGGGCGCAATAAGTCAGACGGGATTGATTAACGCCAAAAACTTTAACCTTTATCCCACCTCTGATTCTCCCGACCAGAAATAGCTTCTATGGCTTCTTCTGTTATGCCAAAACGTCATCGTCTTAAACGCTGAAAAACAAGCTGACAGGTGATTCGGAAACTTCCTGACTCGAGTCCGTACGTACTGCCTACAGTACTCTTAGACTCTATCTGCTGAATCACCGAAGTGATAAACTTGCTGATGTTGAAAACCGATTTCTATCGATGGACACCAGGTTAAGCAGGCTGTGCATCAATTGTTTCTCCAAACTGTTTGAGCAGTCACCAAATGGATGGTGCAGTAACGACAGAAAAAAGAGAAAGCGACGGAAAAATCTGCGCTGTCGTCAAATTTGGGCGTCATCGTATATTAAAAAATTACCATTTTATTTTATTTTACTTACTCGATTGGTATTTATGGTATAATGCGTGATCAAAATAGGTTTGTCTTTTGGCGATTGACTGTCCTGAACACTCACCATGGCATGCATGTGTCCGCAACAGCATTTGTACCGTGGATGATTGCCATCGAATGCATTCAGTGCAGTACCGTAGCTACGAGAAGGACCAACGTCATCCTCTATGTCGTATGACTCTTCTCCTGTCCCTCCTGTAGTTTCGCTTTTTATTTCTTCTCGAGGCATTTCGTGTGTTCACTGAAACTTTTCAGTATAAGGGGTTTGTTGAGAACAACTACATGAGACAAGAATGGATATAATGAGACTTCGAAAAACGCTCACGAACAATGCTCCCCTCAGCAAGGGACTCATTAAGGCTGCCAACTACTGGCACCATACATCCCTTAGTTAATGGAAGGTGTAAATCTCTTTCAAAGTTTGTAACGAAAGAAAGTAGTCATTAAGGTTTTTCTAGTGAGTACGGATAAAATGCAAATTAGATTAAGATGAGACTATCCGTGGACATTTTGCATTGATTGCCCTCATCGCCAGATGTGCAGTCAGCACTAAGCAGTCAGTGAGGCAAAGGGCCTAACTTGCTAGAAGGCAAAAGGGGCTTTCTGGATTTCTCACGGGGATGCATGAAACTGTATGTCCCATCTACTCGGTCGCTTCATGATTCTGTTACATGGATCAAAAATCGATTCGTTACATTGATATCACTCCGTAACATTAAGTACATCAATGTAGCCTATAGAACAGCTGAAGCATCACTACACAATACATGGTATACGAGAATTAGAAGTAAATAGTAGTTTAAAATAGTAATTGGAGCTAGTAAGAATAGGTGCGAGGATGACAAAGGGGTGATGGTCGATCATACCGTCTGCCAAAACCAGTAACCACAAAGTTTGGCGAAATATTAGTACTTTTCGATCCTATTGCTCTTTGTCAGAGTTGAATGGGCTTAGATGAAACATACCTAAAAGAATCATCGCCCTGCAAACTTCAGAAATCATCTTGAAAAAGCAGGATCAAAAGGAAGCGGTACATATTCTACGGGAAAGTAAAAAAACAGCTTTCCATGAAGGCAAATAAACTGAGACAAAGACACTGATATATATGTACTTACACTTCACACTTGAATGGCGCTCTACAATGTACAAGCTACGCTGTTAAGATTATCTAGTTTGAGAAGAAGCAAAATACATTTATAGAATCTGGTTCACCTGAATAATAGAGACTAATAACTACTTATCTGAATAGAAAAAATCAAATTTAAGACGGAAAACTGTCATTCATACAAGGCAAGTCACCGATGGTTTCTCACTACCTTTCGACTCCCACAAGGTAAGCCTTTTCTGAACTTATACATTTCTCCTTATCTTTTTACAAGAGAACTGTATCGCGAGGATTGTCCTAGCTACCAGGTCACAGGCAAAGAACGTAGCTGTTCGCAGTAAGGAAATTCTGGCTTGAATCTTATCAATGCAAACCGAAAATACTCCCGAATGAACAAAGCTTCTAGACCAGTTTCAAGTGGGCACTATTTCGGCTCTTTGATTACATTCTCCTCTGTTCATAGGTAATGTGCGATCACCCAGAAGAGACAGCTAAGAGAAGCTTCATTGATATTCAAATCAGCTTATTAGTATTTAAGGTTCCAAGGTAGAAATGAAAGCAGGAAACAAAGAGTTCCATAAAACGAGCAATACGATTGCTTTCCGAAATACGACACCAAAATGCTTTGATGAGCTCGTCCTCTACTCTGGAGATTTCAAAAGGTCTTCTCTGAATGTCACGTTCCAATGTGTTTGGCTAAGAAAAGCGTAAATAACGAAGAATGAAAAATAAGGAGAAATTGGCTGCAGCGGCATAGCGAATAGCTGTCAGCAGATGCGGAAATCGAAAACGCATCCATCATGACAAACAATCAAACAAATTACCACTTCAAATCGCCTAGGAAGTAAGCAGGTTCAGCGTAACGATTCATCTGGGCAAGGCTATGTGAGTATTGCCCCACCTACAAGTACATAGAGCCACGCCGAGGTGTTCAAAACCAATGAATTGTTTGGGAAGGGTAGAAATATCGATAGTAAACAAATAAGTAATCAGTGTCCTTTTTGGCAGCTGCTGCTCCTAGACAGACCGGCTCCAAGATGCGATCCCTATGGCGCACCCTCTCACCCTCGAGTCATTTCAGCAGTTGGAAGTGAAAAACTTATCTTTTAGGAAAAAGAGTTGGAAGAATTATGTCATGCGGAGTAGAAACTTAATTAATTTCGTATTGACAAGGAATTGTGGCTGCTGGATTCGGCCTCTTTAATTCAGCGGTTCCAGCCTGAAGCAGATAAGTTGTGAGCCTAAATTCAGCGTCTGAACGACTCCAAGTCCCGCTCGAAAGATCTCATCAAAGGGAGCAAAAATTGAAAAAAAAAAAGGAATTCAGTCTTGGAACTGGTCTGCTCACACAGAAAAGTGCATACTAGCAACAGCACGTGGAACAGGGCTACCTAAGCCACTGCTTAGTCTAAAATCATGCACCATACGAGAAAGGAGAGGAAATTTTAGAAATTTTCATATTAAAGAAGGCTCAAAAAAGGGTTTAATCAGATAAGATCTAGGTACTTTTTGATTAGTTGGACGAAGAAAAAATCCGGTACAGCCATAACCAAAGACGTAGTGCAGAATCCATGGAGTAGACCTACTCAAATGCATGAACCTCTCACCCTGCTGAGATAACTCGACAGGTGCCAGCATGGAGTAGACCTACTCAAATGCATGAACCTCTCACCCTGCTGAGATAACTCGACAGGTGCCAGAGCCTATGAAGACAAATTCATTGCCCTTGACAGTGACTACGTAACTTACATCTGAAAATTGCGGGAGGCAATGAATGGAGCCACTAGTACGTCTGGAATAGGTCGCACATGTTGATACTACTAAAATTGTAATCATACGTGTTTCCCTTGAAGCAGGCCAAGCACGGTGTGGAAGAAAATAAGTGAGTCAGTTTGATCGAATTTTAGGGCAAAAAGCGATATTCTCCCTTGTGAATCCAGAAAGAGTTCCGTACAAATAGCTAGGTATAACAATATATCACACTTCAAGCTCGAAAAATATCGCCGAGATTTGATCAAGCTACGCTTGTTTTACGACCTTCCTGCCCCTTCAGGTAAACCTCACAAACAACCTCAAGTGAACAGATATGAGTGACCCTTTCGGGTTCTGTATCACAGTTGGGTTCCTTTCCATTTTCACGAAGAAAAGCCATAATCAGATAATCTGCACCCATTCTGGCATTTCGATTCTCTCACTCATATCCAAATCGAGGAGGCAACAATGAAGGTTTGGATTCGTCGAGCCAGAAGTTCGATATGATCTCTAGGAATTTGCAGGTGATATATGCAGTTTTCAGATCGGGAGTGGAGTTCACCTCCGCTTCAAACAGAACTGTCAAAAAAGTCCGATGGCGAATCATGGATCGAAAAAAAAGATAATAAGGGAAAAGAGAGAGGAAAAATTGTCCTGCATCGAGCTGTTCCTCTGTAGCTTCAAAAGTACGCGCTGACGACGGAACGCCATAGGACGCCATAGGCTGAGAGGTGAAATTCTATCTGACTACATTAATGAGTTTGTTAGAACTTTTGTCAATGGACATTCGTTGAACGAGGAGAGCAGCAGCCGTTAGACTCGCAATATTCCCAATGCCAAGTCATTCGACACCATCGAACGCCTCTGCTTGTTCTTCGTTATCTGTGGCGCTAATGATCAAAGTAAAAAGGAAAACACATCGAAATAATAGCTGCAAGTCTTATAGCTGAGCAAAGTACCCTCAAAAGTCTACATCGAAATGCTCATCACTGATTAAAAGGAAAATTTTATGCAGTCAGTATTATCCCACCTCCTAGAAGGTAATTTTCTTCCCTGAAGATATTTGAGGACATTTAGGTACCTTTATGACAATCCGAAACAGCTTACGCCAAGAAAGGAAGAATAAATGGACCAGACCGGTCGTGCTGCTCGCGAAGATCGCTGTTCGAGGGAGGTTCCTCACCCCGCATCTCAAGCGAACACCATGTTGGCCCCCAATTTGTTTGCTGAACTTTTAACCGCAAGTTCTGGACGAGAATAGTGGTATGGCTCATGTTCTCCAACCGAAGACGATTTATTGGACTACTTTGGCCCGCGGCAGGGGCAATGGAAGGGTGTGGTGCAGTAGAAACGAAATCGTCGCGTCGCGGCAAGAGAGACGCCGTGCGCTAATGGCACTTATAGCTGCATATGTAAATAATAGCCGATGTTCGAGTAAAAGTTTCCATTTCTACGAAAGAGTCTGGAGCGCCCATAAATGACACTTCTTCCTTCTCGAAAGAGCCGTCACTGATACATAGCCACCTTGAAACCTCGTCTAGGGTTCAAGGAGATTCCAGCAGGTATAAAATTGAAGCATCAGAATCGAATATAGTCCAAATATGGATGGTTTTCGAAAAATCACAGAAGGAAGAACAAGCCCGTCTTATAATCCAAGGGCAGGCTGCCAAGAGGACTCCTGAAGTAGGGCATCATAATGTTAGGTAAATAGGTAAAACCTCACCGAAATCTGGGCTTCGTTAAAAATCGTGTGGGTAGAGGAAAAGTACTGACTCACAGTGGCATAGGAATCAGAAAAGACAAAGGAAAAGAATCGGTATTAGTAAGGGAAGACCCAGTTTTTCAATTCCGTCCAGCATAATGGCCTCGATCGTCTGTTTGTTGTTTTTATTGAATGGCAGTGGATGTAATGAACAATTTAATGCTGGCATTCAAACGAATCGCTTCCAATTCGAGCCCTAAATTGACAAACTTCTTGACAATTTTAAAGAAGCTGGAACGAGCTTCAGCTTGGAGGTTCAAATTAATTTCTCTAGACAGTTGGTTACATAGCAGTTAAGTGAGATGTAAATGGCACGGGAGCGACGAGGACTTTGTCCTTTTCAGAGGGAAGTCGTCAACTCTCTAAAGAGGCTTCATCACAAACAAATTGAAGACTGTAATATGCCTGCCATTATCTTTTTTATCAAATTGTTTCGTTACAAAATCGTCAATTTCCTTGTAAAATGTCCCAGTAGAAATTCTTCGGAAGTTATGCGAAACTGTATTGGGTCTCCTCTCAGAGCTTCCAGAATACGCCGTGTATTCGACATCATTCACCCATTGCACCTGGGACACTTTTTCGGTCCTTTCGATTACAGGAGAGCGTGGAC